GGCGTGGTTCCAGCCACCCATGCCCTCGTGTGCCGCGCCGACTTTCATGGGTGTTCGCTGGCAACACTTGCCCCCAGAAGTCTGTTAAGGCGACAACGCGGGCACGAATCATCTAGAGATTCTAGACGATATCGTCAAGATGCTAATCTGTGTCCAAAGAACTATCTCATTATATATATATATATAAAACCACGTGTTCTCTCGCATTCTCTTTCTCTCTCGTTGTCCATGAGCGCGCACGTTATATTTGATTTCGTTTGTAAACACGCACGCAACGCACGCACGTACGCGAACGGACGTTGTGAAACACCTTCGGTGATTTCCTTTGTTTGTTATCTTGGTGCGACTGCGTTCCTCCCAAGGGTGTTGCCGGGGTCAAAAGGTTATCTTGTGTCTCGAGAGCGTGGAGCTGGGGGATGGGGGCCGACTTCTTGACCGCCTCCTTCTGTTAGCACTGCACCCCCCCCACCGAGCCCCCCACCCCCGACATGCCCACTCCACACACGCCTCTTTCTCTCTCCTCCTCCTCTCGCTCTCTCTGGTGATCAGATTATATCGTGCCGAGGACTCGACAAGTCGCCCATTATGTTGCGTTGTTTGTTCTGGTGGGTGTCGCTGCAGGCCGAACACGTGACGCACAATCGGAAGAAAGGTCGCGAGTTCAAACCCCGGTCGCGGGGGAAGGGGGTCAACTGAACCCATCACCACCATCATCACCACCACCAACATCATCATCACCACCATTATTATCACCACCACCATCATCACCGCCATCATCACCATCATCACCACCATCATCATCATCACCACCATCATCACCACCACCAACATCATCATCACCACCATTATTATCACTACCATCGTTATCACCACCATGATTATCACCACCAACATCACACCATCGTCATCATCATCACCATTATTATCACCATCACCACCAACATCACCATCATCATCACCATGATTATCACCACCATCGTTACCAACATTATTATCACCATCACCACCACCAACATTACCATCATCACCACCATGATTACCACCATCATCATCATTACCATGATTATCACCAACACCACCACCACCACCATCATCACCATCATCATTACCACCACCACCATCATCATCATCACCACCACCATCATTATCACCACCACCACCGTCATCAATGTCGTTACAGACAAAGATCCCCCGGATAGCCTTAATCGACTGCTGGGGCAAGTGCTGTTAGCGAACGCCTTATGAAGGGGGAGGGTGGTCATTACCACGTCCGGTCGCAATTGTCTTCCTAGGAACGATGTTTACGCATCACACCAGGGACTTATTTGAGGTACAATCAAGTCAACATAAAGCAGTCTACATTGACAGTACGTCCTATAAACCGTCCATTCTAAGGGACGCCACGGTAGGGTGAGGTGCGGCTTTCAGCCGGAAAGTTGCGGGTTCAGTGCCGAGTTGGGTTGAGTTTGCTCAGCCCCGTTGTCCCTCTAGGGCAGTGGCACTGCCTCTCACCCTGTGGGTGCACGCAACTCCCTGGGGGTGCGAGACACAAGGCCAGATTTTTATATTTTATACATGTTGAAGGTAAATAATCTTAAACACAAACGAGGCACGGGCCCGTAACGACAACTTGCTGTGTTTCAAACTCGATTTGAAGCTTTCGCGACCGCAGGAATTGCTCGTTGGTTCTTTCGGTAAAGTCACGTAGAAAGAAAATAAATTAAATACTAGAGTACGACGTTTCGATTGCAACACAAGCAGCCGTCATCAGGTTGCGTGTGTTGAAATCTAAACGTCGTCCTTTACCGAAAGAACCAACGAGCAATTGCTGTGTTTCATCAAACCATCGTATTTATGAACATTATAGATGTTTTGTTTGTTTCCAATGAGAACCAAACGGGTGCAAGTCTGCAGTCAGGGTTAAGGAGGCACTGCTCGAGGGATCGATACAATGAGTGCCGCATTGTGGGCGTCGAGTCGAGAGTGGCTTTATTGTGGAGCGTCTCGCTCCCGCCGTAGGACTGTGGAATGTCCACCACCGGCCCAGGTGATGAACATCGCCGCGACTGCTCACCTGAGCAGCGATTGCTCATTTTGACTTGAAGAAGATTCGACAACAACAACAACAACGACAACAACAACGACGACATGTGGTCACAGTTTTTATTATTATAATAATTATCATGATCACTTGACACTCGGGCTGATACAAACTATTTACAGCATTGCGGGTGGACAAACCAAGGCGAGCTGGAGGAGTCGGTGGACAAGGACAACAACAACAACAGCGGTATCAACAACAACAACAACAGCTGCCACTCGAGGCTTGCATAGCTATGAGAGTCGTTCCTCAGTATCACGTCGGCGTCGTGTTTGTGTCACCTCCGGCCTTTGTCTTCGATTCGCTCGCGGATGGTGGAGGCCACCGGAGCTTTGCAACGCCCACATCTCGATGGGGAACTCGTTTCTTTGGAACTGCGTATTCTCTGGGTCTGTCGGTAAAGCCACGCAGATAGGTACTGCTCTATCTGAATTCCCTGCAGTCACGAAAGCTTTAAGTCTTTAGAACTGCTTTGTGTGTGTGTTTTTAAATCCTTTATATTAAGTTCGCTTGCTTGCTTGCGTGCTTGCGTGCTTGCTTGCTTGCTTAGGACCGTGCAAATCTTTCGGTCGTTTTTTAACCCACTTCCCGTGATCCAATCGAGCTGACATTTTGCACACATACTCGTTGTGCGAGACAATTAATGTTCGTGAAAAAAGTCCAAAATTTTACACTGTTTAGGGAAAACAAATTAAATATTTAATTACCAATTGCTGAATACTGGCAGACAATCATCTGACCCATAGGTGGCAGCCATCTCAAGCCAGAGGACGAGAGGACTCTAGCCGCCACGCATATCAAGGATTTATAGTGAAAAACTTTGTTTTTACGGGTTATACTTGTTAGTTTTGTTTTGCTGGCCTCTCCCCCGACCTCCGATTCGCACGCTTGGCTACGTACGGTGCGGAAGAAGTTCAACATCCAAACCATACATGCTCGGAGGTTTAATTCCAATGCCGATGGTCTTCCACTCCGCTGTCAACCCCCTGTTGCGAGCAAAGTCCACGCACGCGCCATCGGTCATGGGCGGGGGGGTCGTTTGACCATACTTCACCACGCTGGCGAGTGCGGGTTTAGCGAACAAAAAAAAATCGCCGCTGACTTTGTGAGCCACGGCCGAGAATCGAACGTAGCCATCAAGGTTCGCGGGGGGGTGGGGGGGGGGTCGTTCTCGTGATGTCGCCAACGCTTCGCCAGCCGCGGCATCGGCTCACGTGTGTCTCGAGACATCCTGACCCCCCCCCCCAGGTGACCCGTATAACGCTCCGTGTACTCACGACGACGACGATGCAAACGTACGGTGCGAAAGAAGCTCAGCGTAAATTTGCGTCGTCGCGACAGACGCCGAAAGACCCGTGAACTGCTGGACATCTGTGAAAGAGCTTTGTAGCTTATCGGATTCCTCCAGTGTGAATAAATATTCTGATTCTGTACAGAGTCGCTTGCCCACTCGACAGCTACGAGACTTCCACATTGACCAAACATCACGTGACCACGACGTCTACGATGTCATCTTACTCCCGTTACGGGGGTGGAGGGAGGTGAAGGGAGGGGCGACCTCCCATCCACACGCTCCATTCCAATTTCTTAGAGTCAAGCAAAAAAAAAGATGTTGGTAAGATATTTAACACGAGTGGTAGTTAAAGCTAAACTTTTATTAAATCCGTTATATTAAGTTCACTTGCTTGCTTGCGCGCTTACGACCGTGCAAATCTTTCGGTCGTTTTTTAACCCACTTCCCGTGATCCAATCGAGCTGACATTTTGCACACAGACTCGTTGTGCGTGACAATTTATTTTCGTGAATTTTTTTTTCAAAATGTTACACTTTTTAGGAAAAAAAAATTATATTTAATTACCAATTGCCTAATGGTGGCAGGCAATCATCTGACCCATAGGTGGCAGCCATTTCAAACCAGAGGACGAGAGGACTCTAGCCGCCACGCATATAAAGGATTTATAGTGAAAAACTTTGTTTTTACGGGTTAAGTTTTTTTATTTTCACCGGGTAAGGCCGACTGAGCTGTGTATCTCGTTTTCAGAAGTACCTGGCCACGAGTGATAGCTCAACCAAATGGCTCATCGCGTGGAGCGGCCCACAACTGTAAACGCGTGATGTTGATTCTACACTTGGAGGGAGCAAAACCGGAGCACCGGCGTTAATATCCACGCGACCAAGCAGAGAGAGAGAGAGAGACGCAGACTCCAGATATGCAGCGGGCATCATGATCGAGATGGAACCCGCGACCTCCTGCATACCAGGCGAGGTAGTTAACAGCTCGCCACGCGCGGCGCACAACTAATTGAGCATTATCTGTCGCACGAAGCATCTCCTCTTGGGCACAACAACCACAACACGGGGAGCGGCTTGTGGTCAGGGGGCAGAGCAGAATGCGCGATAGTCAGGCAGGAGGAGATGACCACGTTACCGGTTGTATATTTCGATGTAAAGCTTTCGTGACTGCAGGGATTCATCTTCTTGGTTCTTTCGGTAAAGTCACGTAGAATGGAAATAATAAAATAATAAAAATAAAACATAAAATAATTCTCACGACGTTTCGGCCACAACGCAAGCAGCCGTCCTCAGGTGAAGACCAGGAGACGCTGTCTCCCCGACAGACCTGGTCTTGAGGATGGCTGCTTGCGTTGTGGCCGAAACGTCGTGAGAATAATTTTATTATGTTTTATTTTTATTATATGATTATTTCCATTCTACGTGACTTTACCGAAAGAACAAAGAAGATGTTACCGGTTGTGTTTGAGTGTTTAACACGTGTTTCAAGTCTAGTTGACATTGGTTTGTGTCGTGACCCTGCCCCGGTCCACGTAGCCCCCCCCCACCACACCACCCACTTTGTCTGTAGCCCCCCCCCCCCCCCGCTCAACACACTGCTCCCCTCCTGTAAACAAGATCACGCTCGGGCCTGTGCCGTTTGCTTCGTGAGCACTACTTCTCTTGTGCAATTCTTTGGTTTTGTTTTCAAACGTCGCCGAACATTCCGCAATATTTGCCCCAGAGACTTGTTTGCCCGACGCAGCAGCAGCAGCCGTGTTCCCATCGCGTCCTGGATTGGCGTAGCACACGTGAATTCGTTCCGCGTGGGCAATACTTATTCAGACATTTCATTCCCGGAGCTCAGACGCGGACAGCTCCGGCTACAAAGTGACCGGCCCTGGTTTGGTAACCGCGGCCTGTTGAACGCTCAACAACTTTGAAGGCTTGCCGCTCGACTCTATTTCATTATATGCGGTCATCCGCATAATCTGAGCGACTTTGCCCGATGACGTATCAATAGTGGCTCACTCGAGGAGTGAGATAATCAGCATCTTTTAATTGGGGAACACGTTACAAACAAATTATTCAACCGCCCATCGACCCATTGCACCTTCGCCACGCCTACTTTACTATTCACAGTACATGTAAGACCTCAATATTTCCTGCAGAAGGACCAGCTGTCCGAAACGTCTAGGTCTTCTATTGCGCTCAATGACAGTATTATTTCCTCGGATTGTACATGCTGACAAAACATCTGAACAAGGCTCATGACTCGAAACGTTGCCCATTATTTTTTCTTCCGTTTCAGATGATATTATTGTCGACGAGCATGTTTGTTATACACTCATAATTTATAATTACGAGTATTAGCTTGTTTAAACAACATCATCATCATCACCACCACTCATCATCATCGGGAAGCGATTTGGCTGCTGGTGCATGCTGCTGCTGCTGTGTTGGCATTGGTGCACAAGCACAAAGAATAATAACAACAACAACAACCCTGCAGCCTATGAAGAAGGCTCATTGCCTGAAACGTCACCTATTAGATATACAGTGGCCCAAAAGTCAGGACACATCGGGTTATTATATTTATGTCAACAAATCGTATCGGGTTATTTAATTTATTTTAACAAATGTTATAAAATTGACTGCCTTTAACATTCATGCACGATACAAGAAATATCTTTTGAAATTATTTGAGGATTTTTTTTTATCATTTGCTGCCCTATTTAGAATACATAACGAATTAAACTAGCTCGCCACAGTATTTCTCTCCACTTTTTAAATGTCATTTGAAAAGGAAGAAGAATAAAATAGACGCACAAAAAATTTAGAACAGATGAAATATCAATTTGAAAAATAACCGATTAAAATGTTTAATGTCCGTGCAAAAATAAATGGAATAATCATACGGTGGCCAGATGTTAACTACCTCGCCTGGTATACAGGAGGTCGTAGGCTCGATCCCGACCCTGACGCCCGTCTATTTGGAGTTTGCGTGTTTCTCTCGCCGTGGCCGCGTGGATTTTAATCCCTGATCCTCCGGGGTCCACCCCCCCCCCCCCCACCACATTGAGCATCAACATCACGCGTTTTAGAGCGGTGCTTGCTACCATCTGCTGCAGCCTTGCAACACTTTGGTTCTCAATCGTAAACAAAGTATCTTGTTAATAAATACACAAGTTTGATGAAACAAAGTAGTTGTATTTACGTGTCCGTGCAGAACATGCGTTTTAGATGATTTACCTTCTAAAAAAATCTGGCCATGTCCCACTCCCCCAGAAAGGGCATCTCACACGCCATACACCCCAGATTAAGAAGAAGCACCACTGGCTTAGAGGATGTGGCTGCCATAAATGTCTACGTGAGGATGATAAGCCACTTCGTTGCGTTATCATTTGTGGACAGGCCGCTTCTGAAACACACATGCTTAGTTTGTGTTATCTTTCCACCCCGAACCCGTGATTAGCACGGTGCGAAAGACTGTCAACATACATTCAGACAAAAAGGGCTATTTAGCTCAGAGGGCCTTGCCAGGTTAGCATTTTCTTTTTTGGTTCAATGTTCTCCAGCACTGCGCGACACGTGGCTTGCGTGGTACATATCAAGGCAGTGCTATTGACGAATGTGTCGAAGGTAGCTCGATGGGTTTGCTGTTGTTCTTACGTTAACATTTGGGGAAGGAAGCTGTACGATCACCCGCTATGGAACGCACACCCCGTGTCTCGCACACCACGAGATTGCAACTTAAACGACAAATAAGCCACTCTCTTTTTTTTAGTGCAAACAAAAAGGCATTAGTGACCACAAAGCAACTTTCACCGTTCGATTTTTGCACACGTGTGTGTGTTTATACATACACACAACACACACACACACGCACGCGTCTTTGGAGAGCACACCCTGCCTTGAATCTCAATGTAAATGAAACCCTGTACGGTACGAGCAGCCGCGCCAACGCATCCTTGTATCGCGAGGGGGAGGAGGAGGGGATAGGAATTCGTGAGCTCTAAACCGCAGCGTGGACGCAATTACAGCCTCGAATATTCATTCACACGCGCGCGCACACGCACACACACACGCACGCGCATTCATATACAAAAGACAAAGATACCCTGTATAGGCTTCGACTGGGTGCTGGGCTAAGTGCTGTTAGCGAGCACCTATGAAGGCCGGCACGCGAGGGGGTGGGTTGGCTAACACAACGCCCGGCCGCCTTTGTCTCCCCAGTGCTGATGTTTAATACACGCCGCACCAGGTACTAATTTGAGGCCGAGTCGACCTAGGGGAGGCCCAGGACCGGTTAAGATAATCGGCAGGTTTGTAGCACAGCGCGCTAACCGCTACACTACCACTCCCCACACATATACATACATGTACACACACACATACATGTACACACACACATACATGTACACACATATACATACATGCACACACACACATACCCACTCATAAGAAGACCGACACAGCACAGGAGCTGGTGGGGTGACCAGCACCGCCCCCGGCCGCCTTTGTCTCCCTAATGCTGATGTCTTTCTAGTTATTTATTTTACACGCAGCACCAGATAACTCATTTAAGACTCAGTCGAGGTTGAGATAATCCTCGCAGTTGTTGCATGTGAACTGGAGTCGAACTCGGGTCGCCGAGTTCGTTGTGCAGCGCGCTAACCACAACTACGCCGCTTCCCATCATACACAAGAGTCGCACACACACACAAAGACAAATTTCCCCCGCAAAGTCTTAGCAGACTGTAGGGGCAAGTACTGTTAGCGAGTAGCACCTATGAAGGCCGGCACGGCACACGAGGGGGTGGGTGGCCAACAACGCGCCCGGCCGCCTTTGTCCTCCCAGTGGCGATGTTTACACATCGCACCAGGTACTCATTTGAGGCTGAGTCGACCTAGGGGAGGCCCAGGACCGGTTAAGATAATCGTAACCGGTGTTGGCCGCGAGCGGGAATCGAACCCGGGTGGCCAGGTTCGTAGCGCAGCGCGCTAACCACTACACTACCGCTCCCCACAACAGAGTGGCATACACACACACGCACACGCACACACGCACATACACACACGCATACACGCACACACACGCACACGCGCACACATACACGCACATACACACACGCACACGCGCACACAAACACGCATACACACACACGCACACACACACGCACACGCGCACATACACGCACACACACACGCACACACGCACACACACACACACGCACACACACGCACACGCGCACACACACACGCACATACGCACACACGCACACGCGCACACACACACGCACACGCGCACACACACACGCACATACGCACACGCGCACACACGCACACACACGCGCACACACACACACGCACATACGCAAGCAACCACGTGCGAACGCTTACGCACGAAGACAAAGACGAACACGCGCGTTCTCTTTCCCTGAATAATAACTATGCGTCACGGCGTCCATCATCATCACCATCATCATCGGGACGATAAAACTACCCCTGGACAGGTACTCAAGTCTTATACCCCGCACATCGTCAAGTGGGGAGCTGAGGATTGATCCTGTGGGGCGATACCAACGACATTCGCGTATCTTACCTATATGATTAATCTCACCTATATGAATATATTAACGCACAATAGTATTTATATATTACCAGTGAACTCATAAATAGCGAGCTGCCTAATAGCTCCACGTGGGACACCATCCGAGGCATTGTTTTATTTTAATTACATCGTTTAATTCTCACAACTCTTAGATTTTTTTTTAAATCTAACAGCCACACACACGCGCATATGTCTGCGCGTGTTCGTCGTTGTACACGGACGATTCTTGATGGTACGGAATTGTAAACATACGACGATTGTGTTTTTCATTCACTTGAAAGTGTGGTGAATCTCGAGGTAAGCGTTTGAATCCGTCAGCTTGACTCTCGCTGACGAGGCAGAGACAGCGAGAGAGACAGAGAGACAGAGCGTTTGCCGCCACGGGAGATCGTGCACAGAGACGGAGGCATTTGCAGACATTCTCGTTGGCGTTACACTTAAATGTATAACCTAACAGGATCAATAGCAATCAACAACAGCAATCACAAATGCAACGTACAGCGATAAACACGACAATTGTTTGAATGTCGCATGCAGATGAATGCGAAGGAGTGCAAAGCTTTTTATGTGGTGATTGGACCGACTTGAAAGAAAAAAACAAATCAGATTCACCGGCCGTGTGCGATTGTACTGGTCGATCGGAACTTTATTTTTCCTTGTTGGCTGTAAACTTTGCCGCTGCCTCCATAAATCGCCAGCAATTTGGTGCAAATCGTGTTGACGCCCACCACCGATTTTAACATTGATATTGAACTCGTGTTTCCGCCGTTTCGTCAACATGTGTGCCTGGCCTCGAGATGGGTCGACAGAGAGATGGGGAGATGGGGACGGCGCGCGCGCACGAAGACATTGCGACACTAAGCCGCAGACATCGACACTGCGAGATGGACAGAAGCACGAGACGGGAGATTGCAGAGGTGGAGACGTCGGGACGGAGACACGGAGTGGAGGGAGTTCCTGAGGCAGGCAGAGACAGGAGACAGCTACGGAAAGTGACGCTTGGAGACAAGACGCAACAGACGGACGCACGGAGACACAGACGCGGAGATCATTGAGAGACGTAGAAACAAAAACGGAGACACAGGGAGCCACGCGTGCGGATAGAGAGACGCGGAGACGTAACAATAAAACAGGCGAATTTCACTCCAACACTCGTTGGTTCTCTCGGTAAAGTCACGTAGGTAGAAACATTTAATAACATTTTTTTATTTTATTTTAATAGATATTTGTGATGTATTATTATTATTTTTATTTTTCTTCTACCTACGTGACTTTACCGAAACAACCAAAGAGTATGGGTTCCTGCAGTCACGCAAGCTTCAAATCAAGATCCACTCCGACACAGAAACCTTTCCCGCGACGTCCGCAGAGTCTCCCCTCCAGCGTCTCTTCTCTACCGGCCCAGCCCAACTCACGGCGACACGTCATAATCGTCATCATCACGATCATCATCATCATCATCAGGGCGATGACGATGATCGTCGTCGTCATCATCATCATCAGCAGCAATTGCGGCCGAGTCTGTCTCAGCAGGCGAGTTCGACCCGCTCCTGAGAGCCGACGGCCTCTCACGGGGTCCGACCCCGACTCCCATCGCGACCCCCGCCACCGAGACGCCGACGACTCCGACCTCGGCGTCGCCTTCTCCGGCGGGCGCGGCGGAGAGCCCCTTTCCGGCGGGGTCGCGTCCCTCCCGCTCTCGCTTCTTCTGCTTCATGCGCCGGTTCTGGAACCAGATCTTGATCTGGGTCTCGTTCAGCTGCAGCGCGGCGGCGATCTCGACGCGTCGCGCGCGCGTCAGGTACTTGCTGAAGTGGAACTCCTTCTCCAGCTCGGTCAGCTGCTTCGTGCTGAAGTTGGTGCGTTGCTGCTGCTGCTGCTGCTGCTGCTGTTGGTGCTGCTGGTGCTGAGCGCTGCTACTGCCGCTGTTGCCACCGCTGAAGGCGCCCTGTTGGTGGAAGCAGCCCAGCTCGGCGCTCCTTGCTGGTGCACACAACGACAAAGACAAAGATCCCCCCCGTATAGCCTTAGCAGACTGTAGGGGCAAGTGCTGTTAGCGTGCACCTTTGAAGGCCGGGACGGCACACGAGGAGGTGGGTGGCCAGCACCACGCCCCGGCCGCCTTTGTCTCCCCAGTGGCGATGTTTACACACCGCACCAGGTACTCATTTGAGGCTGAGTCGACCTAGGGGAGGCCCAGGACCGGTTCAGATAATCGTCACTGGTGTTGGCCGTGAGCGGTAATCGAACCCGGGTAGTCGAGGACGACTCAGAGAGAGAGAGAGAAGGGACGACTCAGAGAGAGCGAGAGCGAGGATAACTCAGAGAGGAGGACGACTCAGAGGCGCCAGCAGTAGGAGCCACGGACTAGCGAGGGAGGCAGCAGGAGCCACGCGATGCTGAGCCGGCGCTACCATCAATTGCCCAGGATCTGCGGTCCTCTATATATTAAGGTGCTGACGGCCAATTAATGAGTGTTTACACGTGACAGAATAGCGGAGCGCCCAGAAAACAAACCCGATGTATTGTGTGTGTGGGGGTAAGGACGACAAACTAAACCCACACAAAATCAGTTTAAAATGAATTAGTTTTCAATATAGATGTAAAAGTGCATAGCTCCAATGGCTTCCTAATATCAGAAGGAAGAGCGTTCCAGACGGGCGCAGACGCGCAAAGACGGTCACGACTTCATGAAGTGACCATCTTTGTTCGATGGCCAGCCAAATCACCCTCCATGTGCTGCATACATGGAACTCATATATATACATAAATATCACTGACACATACAATACGTGTAAATGCTCGCACTGACGGCACGCTATGACTGTATACATATATATAAACAACTCAACACATGAATCAATAACACTGTGGACTTAAAAGGAAAAGTATAGGCGACGTTTCGGTCAATGGCCCTTCTGCTGTTCCTTGTTGCGTCCCATGCGTTCGATCGCCGCGACGCGCCAAGAGGGAGCGGTGGCGCTGCGGTTAGCGACACGTGCGCTGCAATGACGGGCGACCTGGCTTAGATCCCCAGCAAAGGCGAACGTCACTGGCGTGTCAACATGTGACGCGGGTCAATTTTGCACGAATTCATATTCTATGGTTCTTTCGGTGAAAGTCACGTAGATAGGAAAGTCATCGTAAAAAATGAAAGTAAAGTGATTACAAATTTCACGACGTTTCGATCGCAACAGAAGCGGTCGTCATCAGGAATAAGGGAAGCCCAAACCAACGCCAGTGACCGGCGTGGTGAAGTATGGTTACATCACTCGCGTGGTCATCCAGCAGTTGATGACAACGGCTGTGAATGCTCTAACAATAATAACAACAACAATGCACTATTGTTACAATGCACTGGTTTTAACGTGCACGGCGATACGAGTTGTTGAATGTAGCCGGCATGCTAAGTCACACACACATATATACATAGCATATCAAGTCATATATGTAGCATATCAACACGAAATCGGGTTTCCATCTCAATGTTTCTTGCGGACTGAGTGTTGAATCGAAAATAAGTCTCGGCGTGTTGACGCATCAGCGTACGTTCTTACAGGAACGAGTACACTCATGGACAATACTTCTAACTCGCATCACAAGGCGTCTTCTACAGAATAACTCCTGCTGCAATACAGCACGTGACAATAGGAACGTAGCGATACTCACAATACGTTTTATTATATATCGACGTAAGGGGTCCATCTCTGCATCGTGTGTACCGTATGTACATTGAACTTTTTTCGCACCGTACGTAGCCAACCGTGCTAATCGGAGGTGCGGTGGAAGGACAACAAACAAAACACAACAACAACAAGAACAACAACAACCAGATCTGAAAGAAATTGAGTTTTCAATCTCGATTTAAAAAGTGCACAGATCCGGTGGCTTCGTTATAAAATCCAGCGGCGTTGACGACTTGATAGGCGGGTTCCTCGTGGGGTGGGGTTAGACGTTTCGCGCTGATGCCTCTCCACACACGTGGCCAACAAACACGACTCGTTGTTAATTCATGTGGAGAAGCACAACTTTCGTCAGCAGCGGCAGAAGAACCCTCTTGGATAAAATAGATCGTAATAATTATTAATTTTTTTTACGATGTACGCGCCGATTCAATTCGAAGCACTATTGACAAGAAGTAAAATACATATTTTGATTTTAAACTTTCGTGACTGCAGGAATCCATACTCTTTGGTTCTTTCGGTAAAGTCACGTAGTTAGAACGTGACTTTACCGAAAGAACCAAAGAGTATAAAATAAGTATTGTAAGTAAGAATAATAATAATTATTCTAAAATTATAACTGAGTTAAAGCACACGCTTGCACCGCTGAATAGACGATGGGAGGTTCGCTGTTGTAATTCGCACTGCACAGCAAGGCCGTAAAATGTCTCCCCAAATATATAGCTATAAAATAGATTTCTGTTTATATGATTGTGGTGATGGTTGTACTTGATTAATCCCTAATCTCTGCCAATGAAACAAGAAAAGGTAAAAAAATAAAAAAAACAAAGCAATGTAATACAATAAACTTGTAGACATTATTGTAACAAATAAATCAAAAGTCCATCCTATGTGTTAGTGATTTTTTTTTATATTTTAGGCAGGAAATTAGTTTTCAAATTTTGACTTTTTTTTCTGGGGGGGGGGGGGGGGGGGGGTGGGGGGGGGGACGCCCAGACCCCCTGGAAGATTTGGTCCCCCCCATATCTTTGCATTTGGAGCGGTGGCGCAGTGGTTAGCGCACTGAACCCGTGCAAAATATTACAGTTATATTAAACAATTAAAACTAAACTCGATGAAGTATTGTTTTTAAAACCCTCACGGTCTTCGTCATTAAAACTCTTCTTACACACGAGAAATATTTCTACCGGAATAGGATGACGTTTCGGGCAATGACCCTTCACACCAAGACAAATAAACCCCCGTCCAGCATTCATCAGACTGCGGGGGCAAGTGCTGTTAGCGAGAAGCCCCTATGAATGCTGACACGGGACACGGGGAGGTGGTGTGGCGAACACCACGCCCGGCCGCCTTTGTCCCCCCAGTTCTGATGTCTACACGCCACACAAGGTACTTATTTGAGGCTGAGTCGACCTAGGGGACGTCACACACTCATTGGCATTCCCACACGCTACGCGCGCTTCTGCTAGGCCACGTGTCAGCGCGTTGTTGGCCTAATGCCACTTTTAGTCGTCAAATTGTGGCGTAAACGCGACAATCTTTCCACCATCGTCACCAATGTTGGGGGAGGACTTGTAGAAATGTGTCGTTAAAACCCGCCACCACCCGGCACAGCCAACTAGTAAGGGTTGTCACGTAAACAAAGCGTGGCCAATTCGTCACGAGTAGAGCACTAGTGTATAGTGTGGTGTATAGTAGTGTAGTATACTAGTACAGCACTAGTGTGGAGTGTAATGTATAGTGTAGTGTATAGTGTAGTATACTAGTACAGCACCACCGGTTGTGTGTTGGAGAGCCAAGCCACAACATTTACAATCTGAGTACGACGTTTCGCCAGTAATTCCAACTAGCTTCATCAGGCGACATCCAGATTTGTGTGGGCTGTCCTAGTGACGAATTGGCCACGTTCTGTTTACGTGACAACCCTTACTGGTTGGCTGTGTCGGGTAGTGGCGGGTTTTAACGACACATTTATATATTTACGCGATCTAACCCAACAAA